ACAGTCTATAGTCGCAACCGCTATCCCTGCTCATTAGAGCTTTCAGTGAGCTATTTTACACAGGCTCGGTCCTGCTCCTCCGTGGCAATGATGGCGTGCGGTTAAAAATCATAACAAACGAATTTAAAAGTGGGGGGTATGTCCCCCCTGTCCGCATAGGAAATTACGCCCGTGGGTAGGACATCATCCCCAGGCTTCATGAACTTGCGCTCCATGCTTTCACCAACGACGCCAACGTGACTTATGGATCTCAATAACACTGTGTCGCCAGGACCCGCCCTGCTCTGCTTCTGATAGGCTTCTAACGTTAGTTAGAGCTGCGTTCCTCTCATATGATTGGTAGGTGAAATCAATTGTCGAAAATATTAAACCGCATGCAAGTTCACGATTTTTTTTTCCCCTCACGGCCGCACGCCGGAGATCCGGCACGGTGCCGGAATACTTTAAGCCCTGCATGATAATCGTAATCGAACCGTGAGACCAGTGTAGGTTCACACCCCTAGCCGATTGCAGTCTCTTTTTTTCGGTAGCCACTCCGAAGTCTTTTGCATTTTACAACGGTTGAATCTCTAGTTGTCACTGGTGATTGTAGTTTGAACCTTTCTGTATCCGCCATCAAATGATAAGTTTAATTATATCAAGTGCTGTGAGAAAAGGCTATAAATCTCCACCTCCAGCATCCTCACACGCAATATAGCCAACTAGCCGAGACTCCTTCTTTATGTGTACAGATGTGACGTAATGATGCAAAGACATGCTCGAATCTCCCGCGGAAATCCACCAGTACCACTGGAATTAAAAACATTATTACAAGCTTACCGTTTTGAATCGAGCTAAGGCAAGCAGATAGTTTTGAACACTGGCTGGTTATGTACTTGCTCAAATTTATTTTGGATCATTTTTAACCCAAAAAAAGTTACGGACTGCAGCTTTAAGTTGAAATCTATGCTCAAAAAGGGCAGTGACAAATAACAGGTTAAGAAAAATAGCTCTGTGGTTATACTTTTTAATGTAAATAAGAAAGTCTTACCTTAATGTTTTTAAAATGAAAAGGCTCCTTGCAGTATTTACAATTAAGAGTCCTTTCTGGGCATTCTCTCTCATTGTGACGTTCAACTTCATTGGCTCTCAGAAGCTCTTTGCATGATGGGCAGGGAAGGATCCTGAAGTCACACTTTCCTTCATGGTTTGCCTTTGAGAGATGAAGAGCCGTTCAGATGGTGCAAGAAATTTTTTAACTCAGTGAGTGCATGTAAAATGCAATACAACCTTGTTGAAAAAACAACAACAACTTGTGATGGTTTGCTGGTCTTAAGCCGGGTGCACACTGTACGATTTATAATAGTCCTTTACGACTGTTGCTTGACAGACAGAGTTGCTTGGAACATGATCCCTATAAGCCATGTCACACTGTAGGATCTCAGTTGTCATTCATGTCAGACTGTACGGCAGTCAAGAGACGTTAAAAAAGCTTTGATGATGGCTTTACATCATCAATCTGTGACACGTTCAGTGACGTGAGCTGCATTTACATGTTGGATAGAAATGGTGGCTACAAAACAAAAAACTGTCTTGAAAAAAAAATATATAGATGATGTGTATGGAGCAAGTGGTAATTTGTTGTTGTCTCACTATTTGTGTCATCAGGTTCTGCTGCGCCCCAATTTGTTTTTGATTTGACGGTTGTTGTAAGAGATGGCACACTGCCACACTGAATTTCGTTGGAGGTAAAATATGATCGTAATGGTCATTATTCGGCTGTCGCCGAACATGTCAAACTAGCGATCAAAAACTTCAGATTGTGACCTAGGATCAGAGGAATCTTTAAGGATTGTCAACATTTGCCAGCCTGGAAAAGTAGGATTGCCAAGCATCTAAGCACCAGCTTGGCAAGGCTGGTTTAACCTGTTTTTTAAAGCACTGAAGGAACACACAGTACCTCATATTCTTTGATGATGCCTGTCCAGCAGCATTCCTCATTGATGCAAACAGCTTCAAGAGCTTCAACTTCTCTCTTGGCAGCATTATCAGGAAATGCCTAAAAGAAATTGCACATATTGAAAGTGAGATCTCCTTTCAACTTGTGTGTATATCATTACTAGCAGTGAAAAATGGGTAAAGTTCCGTTCACACCAAGAACGATGACTATAAAAATAACCATTATAATAACTATATTATTGCACTGCAGTTAAGCCGTCTGCATCTTTAAAAGCTGGAGAACTTTCTGATTAATGTTTTTATCATTCATCAGCTGGAAAAAAATCATGATATTGTTCTTCTGTGTGGTTTGGACTTCTCTATTATCCAAAAATTGTGACTATTATTAAAACTCTTTAGTCATCGTCCTTGTTACTATTAACAGGCCTTTAGTCTTCAATGTATATCTGAATACTATGTGCTACTATAGTCATGTACTATAGTAAAAATAGAAACTTTGAAATATAGTGAAACTGGATTTTCCCCCATATTTTCAAACAACTTTGTATTAGCCACCACGGTCACAAAGTAGTCAGAATTATACAAAATGACAAAGATTTATTGTGGTTTTACAGTAGTAACATTAATTTAGCAGCTGTGGCATTTTGGTGGAAACTACAATGACTATGGAATTTTTATTATATTTTTTAAATTTATAGTTTATTTTTGGAAGGGTAACTTAATAAGCACCAATGATATATACCATTAATTTTTCTATGATTTAATTTTTACTGAGTAATAAAGCAAATACTTACACAGCCCTGTTTCAAAATTGATGTTGGTTCTTCAAATATATCTTCTTTTATACAGGCACTGCATTTCTGTGGTCCGGAGCTGCGATGAAAAATAAAATGTTTCATACACAGAATGTTTCGGAAAGAAATCGCTGATAAATACAAAGGCACACCATATAATATGAGTTGATTTAGACAATAGCTGCAACAGTCTGTCTATTGTAGTTTACAGCTCGCCCAGCGAAACAAGAAGCCGAACACAACCTGACAGCCTGCATTTATTTATGTTCCCCGATATGAAGCAACGTTTACTGTTTGTATACTCATAAAATATACCATAAAAATGGCCCGGGAGGCCTGACAGGTCGTGTTCATCTTTTGTAGTGTCGTGTCAGTTGGGCCATCTGGACTGAATGATGACGCTTACCTCACTGCTTTAGTAAAACAATATGAACAGAAACGGTGTCCGCACTGCGCCTGAAACGGTCTCCTAAGGATTTTCAGACAGATATTGCACAGATGCTTGTCCTCCAGCTTGTTGGCGAGTATTTTCTTGGGGAAGCCAGGTTTGTTGCCTTCTAATGAAGATGGTGGTGAGGGTTCCTGTGCAGCCATTATTCCCGAGCGCGCATGTGACCAGGCTCCGGGGAAGAGACACGGATCTTTCTACACATTTCACTGAAAGGGGTTGTAAACACATTATTTTTCATTGTATTACATAAAAGATTAACTTGATATTTGTTGAAAACATCTAAATACACACAGTTTAATGTTTACATGTATGTAAGTCTTCACAAAATAAGATCATCGTCTTAATAAAGTTGTATAGTTGCACGGTGCATTAATGTTATTGGGATCTTTTTTTTTCTTCAGAACAACAATAACTTACATGCTGTTACGTTTTAAAATCACATATGTCCTCCTACCATATTATGGTCCAACGAACATTATAAAATCTCCTGCAGTGCCGTGAAACATTGTATCAAATGCATTCAGCGTTCTTGCCGTGTGCATTTATAAGTATAATCATAATTTATTGTTATTATTTATATTATATTTATGAGTAACGATAGGCGTCGTGCTCTCTCCAGCTGATCATGGATGGTGGCATCCACTAGGGGGCTTTTACTAAATACGTGAAGCTGGAAACTTCAGTGTACTTAAAAAGACAGAATAAAAGTCTTTTACCATTACCATACGTGTGTGAGCAGCATGATGGGCAGTCATTTACATCGTAGGATGCATATTCAAATATATATATATAATATAATTTAAAAAAACATTAGAATTTTAGAGTTAATAACGACTGACAAAATTTCTCAAAATGACCTAAACAATTATTTAAAAAAATGGATTGACTTTTATTAAAGATGCATTCTTTCTGATTTAATGAAATAATTTTTTTACAGTCTATGGAAATAATCCACAAAACGCTGTAATAGCCTACCTACGCGGTTTATCAACACCAAAGGAAATGCATTATAAGAAAATACACGTCTCTGCTGGTTTCAGTTCTTTCTGCTTTTTCACTTTTTAGAAAAAAAATAGAACAGACAAAATAAACCGTCAAACATAGATGAATCATAATTTTCAATAGAGCTACTTTCCCTCATTTTTATTTATCACTATTTGCTTATTAATCGTTATTAGTTTTGACGCGCTTTTTCGTCTTTTATTTTGAAAATTGTAATAATAATATCTCCGTCACCATCTGTCAGCGAGCGTTGCTGTTTTCACGGATAAGTTACCATACCGCCTCTTGATGATACTGTGTCAAGAAACGAAAGCTAAACTGATAATCGCGGTAGTTGACACATATCTACCTCAGGCCAGTGGTAGTTTATTACTTGTTTCTGTGTAGATTTAGTGTTGAGACTCGACACTCGAGTCTCATTACAGTACTATAGTGAGCGTTATAGCTGATCAGCAATGGACACTCTTCGAGATGGCAGCCCAGACATTTAACGTTATATTAAACTAGACGTTAAAGCTGCTATTCAAACACCCTTGTGCCTATTCGGATGTGTGGACAAAACACCGTGGACTGTCTTCATATCCTTGAATAATTCCTATAAAACACACTCGTTCTTGGACCGAGAACAAGGACGAAAAGTACTAGCTGCTAGCGATTAGTTTACTTCTAAATCCAAACTGCAGTTTACACGCTTCAGCGAAATATAAGGCAAGTAACGTTAATGTTAGTATACATGTCTAATTCTAGCAGTTACTTGTCTGTTGGTAAGGATAGAGAAATATAACACCGCCTTACAGTCTGTTCAATGTTTACACTGAACGAAGATGTAGCGTAAAACAATCTTAGTTTTCAAGTTACGCGCTTAATGAGCTTTCTGTTCCTTCACACAGACTATGGCCGAGGAAAATATCCAGTTCTGCAGTAATTGGTAAGACAATAAATAAAATGTAATTTTGCCGTCAGTTACTTACCCACATGCTTTTTCCCGTACAGCACAAAAGGGGATGTTAGGCGGAATGACAGTCTCAGTCACCATTCACTTTCATTTAATCGTTTCCCATGCAAATGAATGCGAAGGGTGACTGTTTCTGTCATTCTGCCTAACATTATCTTCTGTGTTGTGCGGAAGAAAGACAGTTATACAGGTTTGGAAGTAAATGAGACCCAGTTTTTATTCTGGGGAAAACCTTCCCTTTGAATAGAGAATATTGTTTTGTAGTTTCGTTTTATTAGACAGCTTTCTCCTTTCACTTACTGTAGGTGTGTTCCCAGTCCCTCCCAACAACCTTTCTGACTGTATGACTGTACTGCAGTCAGTGTCCTCTCTTCCTGATTATTATGACTTCTGAGGAATTAAGATGACACGCTTTCATATAAAGCAACTCGTGCTATGATTTTTACAGGGACAGTTGAACTTGACACTGTGGCGATTATGGTGTTTATAGATCACTCCTTTGAAACTATACAGTGTGCCAACCAACTAACCATGATATGTTCTCTGTCTTTAGCAAACATGACATTCCAGAAGCCAACTTTACAACACATGAGATTCACTGTCGGCGGAATATTGCTCTCTGCGAGGTGTGCCAGGAGCCTTTTCCGCATGCTGAGCTTGTGCAGCACAAAGAGATGGATCACGCTGAGGTATGATCTAGCCATGATGTAGGATTAATTGACTGTATGTGAGGGTAATATCGCTACGAGTAACTGTAGACATGAATAAAAAAAGAACATTTTCTGAATAAAAAAAAGACTTTGAAGTGTAAGTGCGCCTTTTTTAGTAGAATAGAGAACAAAAGACGATTGCAATTTCAGTTTTATGCAGTATTGGATGGACTGTATGTCTGTCCTCACAGCCTTGTTTTTGCATAAAATGAAATGCAGCCCATATTATGTATATTGCATGAATTAATACTTTTCCTTCTCTCCAGGCTGCTAAATATAAGTTTTATTAAATCTAAAACTCTTTTCACAGGAACAGTGCAAATGTGGATTAAAGATAGAGAAAAGGTTCCTGGAGACCCATCAGGTAATGTTGTGCATGAATATTGCTGTTTTCATTGATGACTTCTTTAGATCTGACTACTTATTGCCCCTATCAGAGATCAGAATGCAGTCATCGACTGGTCCCGTGCCAGTTCTGTGATCTGGAGCTGGCTTCCTATCAGGCTAAAGAGCATGAGGAGTACTGTGGGACCCGCACCGAGCCCTGCCCTGTCTGCAAGTGTAACGTTATGCTGAGAGAGCAACACATCCATCCAGCCCTGTGCGGAAGTCTGACTCCCCCTCAGGAGAGGCAAAGCAGTAGGGCAGGGTCCCAGTCTCCTGGAGCATGGTTTGAGGCACACTCCATCCATAACCTGTTGAGGGCCCAGGAGAGGAGCCACAATAATAACAACACGGGGGCCGCAGACCGCAGGGGTCCACCACGACCCTTGGAGGACAGACTGCATAACACCACCAGAGGGACACTTAGGGGAGGAACCAGGAGAAACACAGAAATGAGGAACAGTGAATTTGCTTATTGTACGTATCAGTCTGGCTGTTTTAGTCCTGACCTTATTTACAAAAAAATGTTTACAGTACAATAAACTAGTGGTGCATGATACATCGGTACCATAACTAATATCTGCAGATAATAGACTATTTTTAATTGATCAAATCTGTTAATATTGGATATTTATTTGTGCATGCTCTATTCCCTTATTTTAACATTTATGCCAAATTTACACTGCAAAGGACTTTATGAAGTGTCAATTAGGTGTCTTTACACAAACTGTGTAATTCTGCTCTGAGGGGGCATAAATGCATTTAAACAGCAATTTAAACAGTTTATTCTGTTATTCTAGGGGCTGAGGTGGATCAGAGAAGGAATGATTTAGTATTTAATGCTGCATTGCGTCTTTATACAGAATTTTTAACCCAGAGCAGACATAACAGAGGTGTAAAGATGCCTTTAGATCACCTTTGTGGTTATCTATCATGTTAACTTAAAGTGTTATTTCACCCAAAAAATAAAATTATGTCATTAATTACTCACCCTCATTTCGTTTCAAACCCGTAAGACTTTCGTTCATCTTCAGAACACAAAAGAAGAACTTTTTGATGAAATCTGAGAGCTTTCTGTACTCTCCATAGACAGCTACGCAACTACCACATTGACTCCATTGCTTTATATGATGGACAGATTAATTTAGGCTTTTATTCACATTTAAACATTGATCAGTGGACATAAACAGAAGCTCAACCAGACCTGCTTGGCGCATGAGAACAAACCTCATTGGTTCTTGCGGAAGCTCAAACGTGCTGCGTAACACGAGAATGAACCTAATTGGTTCTCGCAGAAAGCTCTGAGATTTTATCAAAAAGATCTTAATTTGTGTTCCAAAGATGAACGAAAGTCTTATGGGTTTAACATGAGAGCGAGTGAGTAATTAATTAAAGATTTTAGATTTTTGGCTGAACTATTCCTTTAAAGTTAATCTTTAAAAACACTAATAATTTAATAACACTGTTAACTGGCAAAAAAAAAAAAATATATATATATATATATATATATATACGGTACGTTATGTTGTTATGCCTAAATTCACTTGTAGCATTTAAAATGATAGGTGTAAATTTTTAGTATTTATTTCATAAGTAATTTAGACACAATCCTGTAGCTCAAACAGTAGAGCATGGCCCTAGCGATGGTAAGATCATGGGTTCGACTCTCAGGGAATGCTTGAACTTAATAAAAAATGTGTACTACATAAATGTAAAATGGAACGGTGTGGAATTTGTATATTGGCCAATACAAATATAACTGGCTTATTGTATCAGTCAGAATTGCAGAATTTTAATATCAGTTCAACCCTCAACCCTACAATAAACATAAAGGGTTTTAAACATGTTGTATATAATACGATGGGAGTTTTCATCGGGTATTAACAGGATGCTGGGGAAAAAACTAACCTTCCACTCTGCTCATTTCCTCAGTGCTGGATCAGGAAGCAGAGCTGCATGGGAACAACAACAACAGCCTGCTGTGGACTCTGGGACAACTGCCAGACTACGAGTCCTCCAGTCTGGACTACATGCTGGCCCTCAGCCTGCAGAGTGAAGGTGACTTGGAGGACCCCCGTCAGGAGGGCGTGTGGACTGATGTGTGGGACCGTAACCTGGGAAGGACACCAGCCCATAGCAATCTCACTTCCCAGGTCTCCTCCAGCACTAACAACAACTGCACTGCAGCTCCCCCTAAAACCAACCTGGCCCCGGCCCACAGCCCCTCCTCAAACATCATGCTGCCTTGCGAGTTCTGTGAAGAGCTCTTTCCAGAGGAAGACCTTATCTTACACCAGGTAAGTGATCAGGCCTCAATCATCCCATCATGTTACACTCCCTCTTGGCTTGATATTTAAGCCAGGCCTGTTGTGTCTTGATAGAGCTGGCAAGTGTGAATGTGCATCAGCCACAGTGGTACTTGGAGGCTCTCTAGAGACAGCTCTTTTGAGTGCCTTTACATGTGTACGCTAACAGAGTACAACATAAGCCATGTTTTCCATGGCAGGCTATTGTAATGTCAGCACTGATGTTGAATCTCCCACTCAATTCCTTCTTGTCAGGTCTCTATTGTTTCACGATGTGGTGTTTAGTTTCCATGGGAACCTCCTCGAATTTCAGCCCTCTAGCTTCTTCCCCTGATCATATTCTTCTCCTCTTTCTGAGGCCTTAGAGGAGGGGTGTGTTTTTTGAGTTGCTTGTTTTAGAATTTCCCCTTTAGTGGCCAGCACAAAGTCAATATTCTGTTTTTGTCTTCTAGACCGGCTGCAGCCCGGCCTCTGCTATCGCTTCCTTCAGTAAACAAGCTCCTTCTCTTCCATATGAAGACATCATCACTCAAGGGGCTGGTCATGTCATTCCTCCCCGCACGCCCAGTCCGCCCACTCTGCCCCTCTCCGTTTCTCCGCTCTCCTACAGTTCCTCCTCCAGCCCAGTTGAGGGCGACGTGCTCATTCCTTGTGAGTTTTGTGGCGTTGCTTTGGAAGAGGATGTGCTCTTTCACCATCAGGTATGACAACCTGTTTGTTTTTTTCCAGAACATAACAGGCCTTACAAATAAAATAGAGATAAAGAAGCTGAACAGCAACAATTAATTCATATAAATGATTTTAAAAAATAAGAAGAAATTTTGTTTTTGTTATCTCTTTGTGGTCAAGTCACCTTCATTTATATGGCGCTTTTAACAATATAGATTGCTTCAAAGCAGCTTTACAGTGATAATAGGAAATTGAAGTAACAGATTGTTTTGGCTTTACAGCAGCTCTAGAATAAAGTTATTGTCCAGCTAAAGTTAGTTTTGATTGATTCACTTTCGTTGCAAAAGCCGTTATAATAAGTACGTATACGAGTGGGGAATCTTTAAAGAAGACTTTTAAGAAATGGCATAATTGTAGGAAATATTTGTTGCACATATAGTTTAACGATTTTAGAAGGACACAAAAATAGGAGGGTTTTTAAAGAATCTGTGATTTTGTATATAATATTTTGTCACAATTTTATTGCCCATTCTGAAATTCTGCGATTTACTTTAGAAAGAAACATGGTGCATACTTGTAATTCAGGTCAGTTATTGCATATTTAAACATTCTAATTATGAATGTCCTCACCAAATTGAACATTTGCATAAATAAAGTACTCCAGTTATTCTGTCTGAGAAAACATATTTACATTATTTGTAAAGACAGCAGTTTCATAAATGTCATGATATATGCCTACAAACAAAATAATACAATTTCATATTATTTAATTCAATTTCTATTTTAATGGGAATCTTCTTATATTGCATAGCACAATTCTAACTTCACAGCTCATGCAAAGCAAAAACCCTTTAGATGTGTATTTTATAAAAATGTGTAGATTTGGCTTGCAAATGTAAATTGGAATACATTTGTATATACACACAATTTCACTTGTTTATATCCAGTTAGTATTGCATCAATCGTGATTTGTTTTTGCTAGTATGTGTTTCAGCTCTTTTGCAGAGCAGAAATGGAGCCCACCATTTAGTTGAGCCTTTTGTTGATCCTGTTCGATTTTATTATACTGTACAGGACAAGTGTGACTTCCGCCCCCAGACAGCTTATTCAGTCGATGGAGTTTCTCCACGAAAACCAGCCCAGACCGTCAAAGAGGCCAAGGAGAGGAGATCTCCTGAGAAGCAGAGGAGGGTGAGACATCAAGGTGAGCCACCAATATAGACTTTGTAATCCACTCGTTTAAACGTGCTTGAAATCAGTATGTATTCATTCATCCCTTTATGTCTTACTGCAGCTGAGCCAGGTGAGGAGCTCCTGCGACAGACGGCTCAGGGGCTACAGAGAGGCTCCTCAGGTTTGGACCAATGGCCGCTCTCAGCTTACAGTTACTCTAAGAACACAAATGTTGAACAGCAGGTGAAGAGCAGGAACCAAAGGCTCGAAGCTGTAGAAGCAAGCACGTATCTCAACGACAGCCTCAAGCCCCGTTCTACAACCGCTTCGGGGTATGCTTTGATATTTTACAGAAATAATTGCTATGTATGCACACGTATGATGACAAGAGATTTTTTTTGGGAAAAGTTACATTGAAACTAAAATGCTTGTATGTTTCCCATGACAGACCTCCACACAAAGGAAGACTGGAAGGTCGAACGAGTGAGAAAAACACGGAGACAACAAAGGTACGCATGTAAATTGTTACAGGAAAGTGAATTCTATTTTTGAAAAGACCTGCATGCAGGACATATTAGATGATGTCATCAGATATTTGATTCTACAAATACTATTTGACCTGTTATAAATTAAATTTTTATCTTCAGGTGCCTAAAAAGCATAATGTTGAAAAAGAGGAGGAGTAGAAAAAGAGGAGGAAATAAACCTATCTTAGTCTCTGTGACTCAAAGCAGTGGCCTGTTATTACTGTTTATTGGCTATTATGTTTGTGTCTGTAAAACATTTACATGTCCAGGTGAATTTATCAATTCTTTGGCTTGTAAATGTATTTCTTTGATTGCACTATTTTTTTTAAATCTCTTTATTGTATTTTTGAATGTGATTTTTAAATGTTTGTTTTAAGCTTCATTATATATTCTTTGTTTCAAAGACATTAGAGAAATGTTTTGTATTTTATTTAAAACTACACGCAAGTTATAGTATAAATATAGAAATTCCCATAACACTTTACTGTAATGTTGTATACTTTAGTTAATGCAATTGTGAACAGCGGACAATACTGCGTTTATTAATCCTGGTTAATATTAATTTCTATATATATTTTAAATATAAAAATGTGTGTATGTTTATACTGTTAGTTCATAATGCATTGTGAACTAATAATTCAGTAATGACCAATATAATATTTAGGAATTAACATAACAATGATTAATAAATGCTGTAAAATAATTATACCGAATACATTAACTAATGCATTAGTTAATGTTCTTCAACATACAGAGCTGTATTGTAAAATGTAAAAGAAATGACATTCTTATTTGATCTTGATTGTGAAATTATTTTACAATGTACATTTAAAAGCATCTCCTAGTGCAGCAACAACAATAAACTTTGAATTTGTGGATATTTGAGAGCTTTTATTGTAAGACTGTCCTGTATGGTGGCATAGTTAATTGTGTTGTTATCATGATTGTTTCTCTTTGGTCATGTAACATCTTTTCAATAAAAAGATCTTGCTGCGACTGAAGGTGGGATGGTTGTCCCATTGGTTGTTCTTTTTGTCTTCTACTAAGTGATATTTGGGCATTTCAACAGTCAGACGATCAATACGGGCTCATCTTTATCACTTGTTTTTGATATGCACTCTGTAACTCTGCTGTTTGCACAATAAAACCGTACAGGGGTTGTGAGCACTTATTAAAGACATAAGATACATTACATATATAAGAACTGTGTTAGAAGCAGTGTTGGGGAAGTTACTCTAAAACTTTCATCTTCAACCGTGTAATTTGAATAATAATATACTAATTGCTCTCTCTAAAAAGTATTGCATTACTATTTACTTTTTAAATTCCATATCTACCACGACCAGTTGAACAATAGAAAAATAAACATGAAACTGCTCTTTTAATTCCTTCAAATAAATAATATAAAATTACAAAAATTATTCTTGAACTGAAGCTTACATTAGAAACACATTTTAACATTAGATGTTGCATTTTGATGTTAAAACCACTATTGTTTTTTATAGAATTTTTCTAGTCTATACAGTATTTACATCAGAAGTAACTGTAATTAAATTACAGTATTTAATTACTTAGTAATGCATTACACCAACACTGGTTAGATGAACGGAAAGTGATTGTCTTGTTTTATTTCATCACATTAAAGTTTGCATCCCTGTTTCTGTCAGGACCGCTATCGTCAAATACGATTGACAATTAGCTTACAGTTTTGATTGGCGGTATGGTTCTGTTCTGGGCAAGAACTCCCTGCGCATCCATGCAGCCTAGCATGGATATAAGAGCAGGAAGAGCAGCAATAACCCCCCTTGGCTTAGGGTAAACAGAACAGAACCAACATGAATGTATGCAGATATCATTAATTCAAGATTTTAAAGTACAACATAATTCTAGAATTTATTCTGATTCAAGGGGAATCAGAATGTTAAATCCTGAATGGCCGAGAGGAGGAGCTGGGGATGGAGGAGGGTATTTAGTAGCTCCTGAGAAACGTGAAGGAGCTTATACATGTATACAGTGATAGGCGTCGTATCCCTATAGGTAGACGTGGATCAGCGGAGAGTCAGCTGATGCGAGCTTGACTAACGTGACCTGCCAGAACTGACACTACGCTTGATTTTCTACAAATTAAAAATAGTAGCAGTTGCTTCATTGGGACCACTGCCGTATGGTCTACTTCATGTGGTTAAATACTCTATCATGAGTTAATAAAGCTTCTGTTAACTGTACTGTTTACTCTTTGTAGTTAATAATTGGAGCATTTTCAACAAACACAAAAAAGGTAAACAGAGTAAAGGTTGGTTTTCTGATCGTACTACTTAATGACAAACTGTAGGCTTTAGAATTCAGTCCAGCTTGGGGAAAGATACAGCGGCAGCCCGGACAGGTGGGATTTGGGAAATTTGTGTTCACACAATTTTATAGGATAGGATATGTGGATGTATAAAGTTGATCTACTAATAAGGATAATGTCTTTAGTTTAACACTCATTTATTAATGTTTAGGGTGTTTGCTGGCTGCATCTCTGTAACCATAATGTTGTAAAACTGTTATGTTTCCTCAGGACCTAAATTGATCTACTGGCTCAACTCCAAAAGGAATCATGGAAAGGAACGTTGTATATTTGTGGATTTGTGCTTTTGCAATTGTTCACCCAGTCGTCCATGGACATCAAGAGACTTTACCTCAACCTACTGCCAGTGATAAACTCCCATTGTTGATAAAGATGAACAATGATTTTGCTTTTCACCTGTACAAGAGGCTTGTAGAAATGCCAGAGTATCAGTCCAAGAATATCTTCTTCTCTCCATTTAGTGTGTCCATGGTCCTTTCTGAACTGTCTTTGGGAGCCGGTGGTGAGACCAAACAGCAGCTTCTTAGTGGCATCGGCCATAATAGCTCGGTCTTCAGCACTGAAGAAATGCACCAGATGTTCCACAGACTCCTGGAAGAAATCGACCAGAGGACAGGGGTGGACATTGATGTCGGCAGTGCACTTTATGTAGGCGATACATTTAAGGCCCTTCCTGAGTTTTTGGAGAAGATGAAGGAGTTTTACCACTCTGAAGGCTTTACTGTGGATTTCAGCGTCAAAGAAACATTAGATAAAATTAACATGTATGTGAAGGAAAAAACACATGGGAAAATTAAACAAGCTGTTGATGATCTGGAATCTGATACTTTAATGTTCCTTCTCACGTACATATATTTTAAGGGTAAGCACACACACACACACACAAATAAAATAGTCATACAGTTGTAGTTCTGGTAATGTCATTGTCTCAGATCCCTTTAAATAATTCCAATCTTTCTTCCCAAGGAAAATGGGACATGCCATTTAACCGAAGCACGACCCGCAAGGTTATATTTCATGTGGATGCTGAGACCACCGTTCCAGTACAAATGATGCACCAATACGAATCCCTCAGAGTTTATTATGATGCCGAACTCACTTCTAAGGTCCTCTGTCTTGACTACAACGACTCTTACTCCATGTTTCTGGCTGTCCCAGATAGTGACAAAAGAGATAAGACCATCAAAAATCTGGAGATGGCCATCTCTAGACAACACATTGAAAAGTGGAGGAGAGCTGTCCAGAAAAGGTTGGTTGTCAAAATGTTTTACTGTAAATCATAATTAAGGTTATCCTAACTGATTTATAAAAGCTTTTAGATGGTCAAATGTTTTTAAGTTCAATCTCTCTCCATGGACCGGACAATCATTGATTTTTTTTTTTTGATTTTTTTTTTGTCCTTCAGAAAAGTTGACATCTATGTCCCCAAGCTGTCTCTGAAAACATCATATTCCCTGAATGACATTTTGAAAGGCATGGGAATGGCTGATATGTTTACAGATAAAGCCAACTTTACAGGAATTTCAGAGGAAAGGATCTTCATTTCAAAGGTAAAGTCTCAAATCACTTTCTAAATTATGATTTAAAATGAACAGAAGAGATTGTTTATATAGCTACTATAAAAAAGACAGCACTTTTTAAAGATAGCTCACTTTGAATTACTTTCAGGCTTTGCATAAAGCCACTCTGGATATAGATGAGGAGGGAACCACTGCTGCAGCAGTGACAACAGTTTCATTTAGACCAATGTCTTACAGCCCAATGCAGACTTTGAGGTTTGATCGTCCATTCATGATCTTCATCACTGACAAAAAAAATGACAACATTCTCTTCTTTGGAAAAGTTGTCAACCCGGCGGAAAAACAGTGATGTTGCATCCAAGATGTCATAACAACATTTGCCAGCAGGTGGACATGATTTAACAACTGTTGTGCCATTATTTTACTGACTCTACAGCATGTTGATATATAGAGGTACTCAATCCTTCCAATGTGTATCAAACACCTGAACCAGCTTAACCAGCTGTTTGGATTTAGTTGTTTGAAAATAAATTACAGGTACGCATTGCTAGATCTGTTTCCTCTGGTCAATGTATACTTATCTGCCAAGTGGCAACAGTTATGTAATCCTAAATTGGAAAAAGATGTTGAAAAATGTTAAGTAAAAAAATAAACAGCTGACGATACAGCCTTTGTCTTACATTACTTTCATACACCACACTGTTGCTTTAAAGATTAGAATCTGTTTCTGTCAATTTGGTTCTGATATTAAAATTGTAGCAGGATAAAAATAAAAAATTGCATTTGGCTTGGTTTTGGCCTTGCTATGTAACTGCTCAGGACATCCTGAGTTGAAATCCTGTGCTATCATGGGTGACCTAATCAGTTTCCACCATCTATCTAATAAATTAAAAGCCCAAAATTGTAATAAAAAATGCAACAGTTAGACCTTTATGCATTAGAGCAGAGGTTTTTAAACTGGGGTTCAGAGAAAAATTGTTACAAATTTTTAAATAATAAACCATTACAAAATAATTAACTGTTTAGTTATATGAATCATAGTTAAATTAAATAATACACAATATTATTCAGTAAATGTTAACATTTACTTCATTCAAAATTGTCTTTAAAATATCAAACTTACTAATTTTCTCACACAGTATAAATGAATCACATGCATATAGCCGCCTTTATAGTTTAGTCCCTTGCAAGGCGATCTATATATTTGCTGGCTTCAAAACATTTGAAAACGGCTGCACTAGGAGTCCCTGTGTTACACAGACATGAGTAGCTCGCTGAGTCATAAAAAT